TTTGAGCGATCAATCGGAACAAAGAATTTTACGAATTGACTAATTAAAGAATGCTTCGAAGCGTTTGTAGCGTCAAGTAGACCGCAGCCTAATTTTGTCACCAGAATTGCCAACAGCAAGATTAAAAATCTATTTTAATTTCTAACCTATTCATGATAAGAAAAAAGTGGATGATAAATTAGATTTTTTTTTTAAATAATATCTATAAATACATTTTGAGTGTATTTTTACAAATACGGGTTTTGTAACAAATTCGTTGTCAAGAGATTATAGGTTAAAGATGATAAGTTTTTATTTTATCAGTTGACAACAAAATTTAATCGGATCAAGTCCTGGTAGTCGATTATGTATCTTGAAATGAGGTGAAAATTACAAAAGTGAGCAAATTCACTACATATTGACCAATTAAATTATGAATATTCTAGTGAATTTGCTCACTTTTGTAATTTTCATCTCATTTCGAGATACACAATCGACTCCCTAATCAAGTGACTGGTGTCGGTAAAACATAGTGAACGAACCGGTCCTATGTCGTTAGGATAATCTCGTTGACTGAAGGGAACCGTATCAAGGTCGCCTAAGATGAGATTTAAGTCTCAAGTACAAAATCAGACTTGACTAGCGATTAACGTGTTGAATGCGATATTTCTACGCGATTAATCGCATATAATTTGTTCGCTACTTGACATAGGAAGAAAAAGAACGAGTTAAAATTAATCGGCGATAATTGTTTGCTGTTGGAAAAAAAATGGTTAGATCAGTAACAAAAAATTATGTACAGAATATGTAGTAATAAGTAAAGTAAGCCCACTATAAGCAAGAAACATTTCAGTAACGTTTTGAAACGTTTCAGTAACATCGCAACGTTGCTGCAACGTTACTGATGTGTTTTATAACACTTCTTGTTTACTGGGAGGAGGCGTTGGCAGAAAGCTAACTTGTCATAGTGTGCCTTCCAACAAGCGACACAAATGACACGATGTGACACAATGAATCATTACATCCTTGTTGTTTGCCAATGTTAAACAAGATGACATGATCACTGTGCCGCACTGTGTTGCTTGTTGAAAGACACCCATAATCTTAAGACGGTGTCTTATGTTTTTAGTATAACGCACAACAACTATCTTATAACTTAGGCCGGTATTCATGATCGGTTTTTTTTTTCAAGACCGTCTTAAGTAATGTCTTAAGACGCTAATGCGGCTCTCTTTCCGATTGGTTCATGATACCTCAAGCCTGAACTTAAGACAGTCTTAAATTTAAGATCTGACTATGAATACCGGCCTTAGGTGTATAAATACCAAGTGCTTTTGGGCCATGAGACACAAAAAAACTTAAGCAGTAGATCGTAAGCGGTAAGCGAATTGACCAATCACAGTAGAGTCCGTAAGGCCGTAAAGGCCATCACACGTATAAAAATTTTAGTCGCAATCGTAAGGCCGTAAGCAAATCGGCCAATCACAATCGAGCGTTTTAAAACGCGAGATCGTAATTTTGATTGTGATTGGTCGATTTGCTTGCGATCTTACGATAACGACTAAAATTTTTGTACGTGTGATGGCCTTTTATAGTCGAATTCCAGGGGAATAATCGACTATGATTCGTCCATTTCTTATGGCTTAAGGCTTAAAACTCTATTGTAGATCCGGGGTAATTGATCAATTTCTTATGGCTTAAAGCTTAAAACATCTATTATAGATCTGAAATTACCCCGGATCTACAATAGAGTTTTAAGCCTTAAACTATAGGAAATGGACGACTCGTAGTCGATTATTCTCCTCGACTGTAATTGGTCATTTTCTTACGACTTCAGGCTTAAAACACGTATTTATGTAGATCCGGGGTTACTAAAGACATAATACTTAAGTTATAAGACGCTGTCTTGCGCACAATGGAAGACTATTGGAAATAGGAATAAATATTAAGATTTCAACCTATCAGAAACCGTGTATTCCGATGTAATTGATATCTGATAGGTTGAAATCTCAATATTTGTTTCTGTTCCTAATATTTGTTCTATTGTGCGCAGGCCGTAAGTCAATGTTTCTGCTACGGCCCTAAGCAAGACTGCTCGCCGATTAAGTTAATCGGAGTTTAGTCGAAGCTACAAGAAAATCGAATAAAATCGCTAGATCTACAGGGTGGAGAAAAAGGTTGTGGCATAACTTTGCAGGATGGTACTACAGGTCAAGGTGAACATAAAAGGTCCTATGAACATAGGTCCGGAAGTGCCTTATTTTCGAAATACGCGCCATACAAAAATAAAATCTGTTTTTTTGATTAGGACATCGTCTGTTCGGAAAACGTGTCTGGTACATACGGCGAGCCTCTACGCAGTTACCACGGGCCTCTCCGTACAACAAATGCATGTCTGCATACTCCGCATTACTAAACATCTTTACAAGATGCGATTAACTGTTTTACACCACTTATCGGAAAACGTTCTGCGCTTTCGAATAAGTACCTTTCGCATATTGTTTACACCAAGGCACACGCCTGACCTTTGTTTACAATATCTCACGTTGAGCACCTCTTGTAAAAGTCACTCGTTCCAAATAAACCTGTTGATCTCACCAACACAGATTTTATTTTTGTATGGCGCGTATTTCGAAAATAAGGCACTTCCGGACCTATGTTCATAGGACCTTTTATGTTCACCTTGACCTGTAGTACCATCCTGCAAAGTTATGCCACAACCTTTTTCTCCACCCTGTATAAAGTACCGCAAACTTGCATCCATTTTGACGCTTACCGCGGCCATTTTAAATTTATGCATTTGTATATGCGTACTTTATTTGGGAAAACGAAGCCGTCAAGTACGTGAATCAATGTTTTTGAATTGTAATTAGTTTATTTATAACCAAAAGAATATGTACGAATGCTCAATTTATGTGTTCTTTAGTTTAATACGGGTTTATTTGTTGTAGAAGTTTAGTGCATGAAAGCGCACGAAGAGACATGTAAGTACAGTTTAAAAGATGAACCACCCAACCACCACGCTTGGAATCGTGTATTATGTGGCCATTTCGGCCATTTCGGCCATTTTGACGCTTCGCGGCTTCAGTTCTAAAATCAATTGCGGTACTTTATAGATCTAGTGATTTAAAAATCGAACGAAAACAAACGCCACGTTTCCCGTTTCTGTGTCTGCTAGCGCTTGCGAGGGCTGCGACCAGCTGCGACTGCGAGTGCGAGAGACCTCTGCTCACACTACGGCGCATTGCTCACGCTGCGGCGATCAGCGGCGATTGCGGCTCAGCGGCTGCTCAATTATTGCGCTCTCTCTTTATTTCTCTTTTTTTCTCTCTTTCTCTTTCAGCGTACTTGTTTCGTGTGAGAGTTCCTCTTCCGGTGGTTTAACCACGGCAGCACAGCGCACAGCGGCACAGCAGCGTCGCAAGAAAATTGTTTAGTTGCTTGAAGAAACTGAAAGGAACGACTTTAAATGCGATCCTGTCCTGGCGTGAGCCGCGTGAGTCGTTTCGCGGCCGTGACCGGTCACCACCACGCTCTT